GCAGTGAAATCTGTATTCCTTATCCACGCATTGTGTTTTTCTTTTGTTAGTTTACTGCAGTATGAGAAGACAAACTACAGTAGTATAGATCATAATTATAAATGATACCGTGTTCGGATAACTGGTAAAATGTATTGAAAGAGAGATGAAAGAAGGCCTCAAGATATAATTCTTGACAGCCTTATGTGTCATCACACGCCATGTGAAACAACTAGTGAGACACCCTCGAGTTCTTTAGGTCAGTCTGTCCTTGTAAGTAATGTTCTACATTGAGGAAATCTGTCTTGTAACTAATGTTCTACTTTGAGGGAAATCTGTCTTGTAACTAATGTTCTACATTGAGGGAGATGTGTCTTGTAACTAATGTTCTACATTGAGGGAGATGTGACTTGTAACTAATGTTCTACATTAAAGATGGTTGTGTCGACTAACTGCCAAATCTTACCAGATTCTGCTGGTCCATGCCTTGAAAATTTCCATCAGATGAATAGCTGTCTACGGTCATATTTGACATGCCAGACAGTAGGTCATGAAATTATATTTAACAGTTGTTCACTTCACTTCTATAGCTTTCAGTTTCATGTCCCGATGACAACCATAAACATAACTATCGGGTATAAGTGGCTCCAGATACGACAGTTAGAGAACCCTTAAATGTTACTGTCACAGATAGTTTTTTTCTAGCAGCTGCTATCTATGCTCAGTTTACGAAAAAGTTGGAAAAATACACAGATAAAAGCACCTTATTTAAGCCTTTGACACATTGGGTGTTAAACGCATAATTGTATAGACTTATGTTTCCACACTTGTTTTTAGTGCATTGCCTTTTTTTTTCTTTGGTAGTGAATAATGAAAATTTAATGCACAAATTAGAAAGAAACAGGAGGCGACAGAGATGTGGTTCCTCAAACGAATATGTTAAGAATCAGACTGCCAGAGTAACAAAAGAGGTTGTTTGAATGAAGCTGATGAAAGCAGGTCACTATGTACAGCTACTGTATAAGGAAAAGACAAGCACTGTTCTTTGGTGATACTGTATAAGGAAAAGACAAGCACTGTTCTTTGGTGATACTGTATAAGGAAAAGACAAGCACTGTTCTTTGGTGATACTGTATAAGGAAAAGACAAGCACTGTTCTTTGGTGATACTGTATAAGGATATACTGTATAAGGAAAAGACAAGCACTGTTCTTTGGTGATACTGTATAAGGAAAAGACAAGCTGTTTCTTTGGTGATACTGTATAAGGAAAAGACAAGCACTGTTCTTTGGTCATGTGATTGGTGAGGGAAAAGACAAGGGTGGTGATTGGAAGAAAATGAAACCAAAAAAAAGGTGGGGGAGGGGGGGGGGGTTGAGAATATTGTGACGACTAGAAAAATCAACGGTAGAAGAGTGAGAGACAGACCGAGAGAGATGATGACGGATGGACTGCGACAGTGGCACGGAGGGATGTCATCGGTGAAACTGATCCAGAGGACAAGGGACCGAGATCGCATGAACGCCTACACCAATCGGCAGGGCACGTATTGGTGATGATTATGCCCTTTTGCCAATGAAGACATCGCTCAGCGTCCCTCTCTCCTTGAAAATATCATAATCACGTGCCATGTCGAAAAGCATCATTGATGACGATTCGCCATCCTACACTATCAGTAGAATTAGGGAGCAGGTCAGTGCTCTTGTTACCACCTTGTGCATGTCGGCTGGACCGTTACAACCGCCCCCCTCCCCCTCCCGCCAAGAAAAATCAAGGAAACTACGGCTCTCTGGACCATACAACCCCCCACACCCATCCCCCTCCTCCCCACGGGGATGGTCTCGAGAACTTGAGGAAACACTGGGTATAGACAAAGCGGCATTAGATGGCTCATGTGGTCAACAGTAACTGACACATTCCCCAAACATCTTTATGGAAATAATTAAGTACCCATCTTTAAAAGACTGTGTCGATCCCAGAGCTGTACTAGGGTTAGTACCCGTTTTTCTGGGAGGGGAGGAGAGCTTGTAATATAAGCTCTTCCTCCAACGAATAAGTCTAGTTTAAATCCTCAGCTAGAATGAGAGACTTCTTGCCGACCGACCAGTACAGACGCCAGTTCTCGATAATGAACTGATGTGCTTCATAATTCAAAGTACACCCCGCATGTTTAATAAATAAATTCAAGATTTGAAGAGTTACGACAATGTTCCAAAACAAGATGACATGACTGTATTTGAATAAATGTAAAATTTTGTGCATTAATAAATGTAGATGCGGCCCCGAACACAATCGCGGATAAGCCTCTTGCAAGCCGGGTGACAAAAGAGTTGGTAATCAAGATACACATTCTTTGACTGGTAGAGAGTGATGCCTCTCTCGTCCTATCTCACTATCCAAAGACCAGGGGAAATTACTAGAAATTCACGTGAACAAATCATAGCCTTCACTGGGGGCTTGAATCTGGGATCTCCAGCACTTGAGGCGGACGCCATGCCTCGAGATGACTTAGCTCCCGAATTGTTCTGGAATGAACTGAGGCGAATGTTCCATTATAATGATAATTATCAAATTATTTACTTGTAAAGAACACAGCAAGAACACAGATTGTCCTTCATCATTGTTTTTTTTTTCTTCTGGATATTGCTGTAAAATCTTGCATCTGGTGGTAAATTAATCAAACTAAAATGGTTACTAGAATTGTTTTGTCCAGTAAATTCCACACGTGTGACTTTGACCACATCAACCACTGAGTGCCGAGAAGGCAAGATAAGAAGAGAAAAATAAAGTCAAAATCAGATCAGAGTAGTAAGACGCAGGAAAGAAAAAGAAGAAAAACAAGATCCAGTGAGTGCCGAGTTGGCTATTGAAATATGAGCTGTGCACCATAAACCGATTATAACTGAGGTCCTCTTCTTCTTCTTCGTGTTCATGAGCTGTAAACTCTGTCGGAAAATTCTGGTTGTTCATCCACTTTTAGACTGCAGTCCTGTTCCAGAACCTGACTGTTGCGTGTGCATCCGTTTCACAGATCTGACTCATTTGTATGCAGACTGCTGGTTCCTTGCCTCTCAGGCAGATGCACTCAGACTTCAAAGTAAGCTCCCAAATATTCGAATCTTACGACATGTTTTTCGGGTAGGCAGTGGGTCTATTCTTGTTTTCCCTTATAAAAGGGCCCCACACGAAGAACTAAGGGCAGGAAAGAAGGTTCGATCAGTTGTCACCTTCGAAATGCTACCTCAAGGTTTACGACACTGAAACTAAAAGAAAACCTAATTTGGGTTGCAAACAAACAGGGCAGATTCTAGATACTCGGTGCAACCTCCAAAAAAGTTACAATTAGAGCACCCGTAAAGGACACACCAGCCGTGTCTGACCTGTAGTCCTGTCTGGGTAAGGACCCACCAGCCGTGTCTGACCTGTAGTCCTGTCTTGGTAAGGACCACTAGCCGTGTCTGACCTGTAGTCCTGTCTGGGTAAGGACCTATAGTCGTGTCTGAACTGGTAAGGACCCACCAGCCGTGTCTGACCTATAGTCCTGTCTGGGTAAGGACCCACCAGCCGTGTCTGACCTGTAGTCCTGTCTGGGTAAGGACCCACCAGCCGTGTCTGACCTGTAGTCCTGTCTGGGTAAGGACCCACCAGCCGTGTCTGACCTGTAGTCCTGTCCTGGTAAGGACCTACTAGCCGTGTCTGACCTGTAGTCCTGTCCTGGTAAGGACCCACCAGCCGTGTCTGACCTGTAGTCCTGTCCTGGTAAGGACACACCAGCCGTGTCTGACCTGTAGTCCTGTCCTGGTAAGGACCCACCAGCCGTGTCTGACCTGTAGTCCTGGTAAGGACACACCAGCCGTGTCTGACCTGTAGTCCTGTCTGGGTAAGGACCCCACTAGCCGTGTCTGACCTGTAGTCCTGTAAGGACCACTGTCTGTCCTCTCCGTAAGGACCCACTAGCCGTGTCTGACCTGTACTCCTGTCCCCCACCAGCGTGTCTGACCTATAGGTAAGGACCACCAGCCGTGTCTGACCTCCTGACCTGTACCTGTAGTCCTGTCTGGGTAAGGACCCACCAGCCCGTGTCTGCCGTCTATAAGGCCACACACTAGCCGTGTCTGACCTGTAGTCCTGTCCGGGTAAGGACCACACCAGCTAGACCGTAGTCCTGTCGGGTAAGGCCCCACTAGCCGTGTCTGACCTGTAGTCCTGTCCGGGTAAGGACCCACCAGCCGTGTCTGACCTGTAGTCCTGTCGGGGTAAGGACCCACCAGCCGTGTGTCTGAAACACTATAGTCCTGTCCGGGGTAAGGCCACACTAGCCGTGTCTGACCTGTAGTCCTGTCTGGGTAAGGAAGCCGTGTCTTACCCCTGTCGGGGTACCCCCACTAGCCGTGTCTGACCTGTAGTTCCTGTCCGGGTTGGGTAGTCCTGTCGGGGTAAGGACCCACCAGCCGTGTCTGACCTAAAGTTCTGTCTGGGTAAGGACACACCAGCCATGTCTGACCTATAGTCCTGTCTGGGTAAGGACACACCAGCCATGTCTGACATGTAGTCCTGTCCGGGTAAGGACCTAACAATTAGAGAAGGCTAACCCAGTGAACCAATGCCCGATGAAATCAGATATGTCGGCGGTGAGGCACAAATATTACAGACACAACATGGTTACGTCACTCGGACATGGGAGAGAAGAAAGAAGGTTTTATTACGATGTGGATAGAGCGTAACTGGGCTTTTACTCAAGCTTTCTCATCTGTGACCTGAGCTATTCTATGTTAGAGGGATGTCACGTTATCTTGTACCCGATGCTATCAGCGGCGAGGTGGCGTCTTCTACACTACACCACACACCGCTTTTAACGACTCTAGAACATGTAGTACCGGCCCTAACCCCAATCCCCCTACCCCACAGCCTCAGCCTAGGTCCCGCGAGTAAGTCTAGAGTACGTCCCTTGGTTTCAGAATAGTTAACATTTTCCGCTGCGCCTTAAAACCTGTTTTGCTGCACAAAATCAACGCTTTTCTCCTTGTCGCTTGTCAACGCTGACTGCTGAAATAAATTCATTTTGTACCCGAACTCTGTAATATACACAATGTCGCCGCCCGCTCCCAACAACAAGTAAAACACACTGAGTAGCTAGCCGCCCACACGACGCACAATAGCGAAAACAAGACAATGTGAAACCCTTCTAATATCGACTAACCTGTGTCACAGGTGAGAAAGCATGAATGAAAGCTCAGTTACGCGCTATCTGGATCGGACATCGTAACAAGTTCCAAAAAGAAAATTATAAGGACTTAGAAGAAAAGTTTTTTTTTTTTTTTCCCTATAATTTATAATTAATAAAACGCTATTTAACTTCGGCAAGTTTACAGTAAAAAACTTCACGGGAAACGAAGTGCAAACAAAAATAGTCAGATATTTTGAACAAGACAGTCTATATCAAGTATTGAAGGTCGTCGGCAGAGGCCAAAAAGTGTTACAAAATCAGCAGTTATTTTGCACGAACCAAGTACATCTAAGATCCAAAGATTCAAAAAGCTATAGGTTGTATTCACGGCAATAGTAATTTTCACAAAACGTTGAAATAAATTAGAATACAGTAAGAAAATCCATAGTAGAAAATTCAAGGTAGATGCAGCTAAACAGCAACGAACTGGATTGAAAACACAGCTAAATGCTAGTTTGTTTCTTGTCAAATAACGCACACAAATATGGCATATAAATAGCGCACACAAATAACCAGTATAAATAGCGCACACAAATAATGCGCATAAATAGCGCACATACGTCCACCCGTAAATGCGCGTAAAATTAATTAGCCGGCAGGCGAGAATTGGGCTCCATTCTGGCACCGCCCGTTCGCTTTCATTCTAGCAGAACACACGAGCAAGGAAATCAAAGGCGACAATTAACGCTTCTGCAAACAATGCGAATTCTGGTGTAGAAATGGTAAGAAAGAAAGCAGAGAAAGGAGAGAGGGATAGTGGGCAGGAGAAGGGGAGAGAGGGAGACGGAAAAAGGAAAAGCAGATCTAGAGACACTGATGGAGAGAAGGAAGGAGAGATAGAGAGAGAGAGGGGGGGGGGCGGTGAAACAGAATATAGGTGAGGGGGGGAGGCCAAGGGGCAGAGCTGGAAAGGTGGAGAGGGACAGGGAGTGAAGCAGAGAAAAAGGGAGAAACTGAGCGAGGACTAAACAAAAGATAGACAGAAAAAGGGGAGGGATAAACACAAAGAGAGAGAGAGAGAGAGAGAGAGAGAGAGAGAGAAAGAGAGATAGAGAGATACAATGTTAAACAAAACAATCCAGTAAAGAATCCTCTTCTATGCCTTCATTCGATTTGGGCCTATAGGGCTGAACCTATACTTTATAAACCAATCAGCACTCGGTCGGTGATAGGGTCAAAATCACGCTGGCCGCCTTTACTTCTCATAAGTTAACCTATAACCCATTTAAGGCTGGGTCGACCTGGGAGCTAAGGTTTGTTTTGAAATATAGTCAGGACCTCAATCCACGACCTTGGGATCTATGGTAACTGTGCTCTGGAACAAACAGAACCTCAACCCAAGACCTTGGGATCTATGGTAACTGTGCTCTGGAACAAACAGGACCTAAACCCAAGACCTTGGGATCTATGGTAAATGGGCTCTGAAACATACAGGACCTAAACCCAAGACCTTGGGATCTATGGTAACTGTGCTCTGGAAAAAACAGGACCTCAACCCAAGACCTTGGGATCTATGGTAACTGTGCTCTGGTACAAGCAGGACCTCAACCCACGACCTTGGGATCTATGGT